TTGTAATGTGCTTTCCATACTCAGGGATACTATGTGTGCAGTAGGAAGATTAATAGGAAGCAACAGTGCAAGTGTAGCCGTAGAGAGATCTCTGGCATTTTTATCACTGAATGATGAAAACTTGCTGCCAGTGTTAGCAGGAAGGAGAACATTTGCCAAAAATCCAGAGCCAGCATGGTTCTGCCAGAGCCATTGTTGACAATGCCTTTTGGACACTGTTGCAAATAGGTTTGTTTTGCTCCTAAAATGGACCAGACCTTTCAGTAACTGCACATTATCTTGGATTCTCAAATCCAATATGCAATCAGTTGTTCAGTTAGCAGTGTCTATAAACTCCAAATGGAGCCAGGATCTCCCTGTGTTAGGTACTGTGTCCATGCAAAGAAAGAGACAGTATCTGCTCCAGACAGTTTGACAGTCTGAATAGATCAGAGAGGTTGGAAGGAGAAACAGATTTACGGGAATGAATTGACATGCCCATGACCATCTTGAGGTCAGTGTAGAAGCAGAAATCAACCCCAGGTCTGTACCCCATCTCTCTTGGTACAGTGAAGTAAACATGGATTACAACACTGTAATCAGCCGGCCCTGCTAAAAATGTTGCCTGTGAATTTTTCAGCTCATTTGAGCCTGATTTTTCATTAAAGCTGGTCTGTCGTGGTCATGTGAGAATGTTTAGTACAGTCAAGCTAGCTCCACTTGGCATTTATCTTGAAACAATAACGTCTCCTTCTCTGTCAGTCAGACAGCAGTTTTCCGGCATGCCTTTCATCATGGATTCTACACAGTACTAGAGCAACGAGGAATATTCCCACTCAGATCCATGAAGGAAATGGATAAGGGTGATTGTCCCTCCCCTCAAAATATGTCATTTGCCATGCATCACCCCAGCCCTTTTATGCTTTTGCTGTTTTTGAACGTAAGAAAGTAACAATAATTTATAATGCAGACAGTTCCCATTCAGTTGCAGAATTCCTGGTCCTATTATTGCCATGTTCATTTTAATTGTAATCTCATTTCACTATCAAAAAAGATTTCTTTGGAAATCAAGCAGGGCAGGCATACATTAAACATAACTGCAGGGAGAGGGCTAAGCAGACCAATTATAGGTTGTTTTTTTATTGCTTGTGAGGCAGTATCTGCTTATGTCTCAAGGAAGTTACAAGGCCAAGTCCAGCCATCAGTAGGCACTGCCCCCAAATTGAAATATATTCATTCTTAAAATGGGGCTAACATAACCTCAAGACTTCTTGTGATCGTTCCCTAATGTAGCCCTCCTCTTCCTCCTACACACCTCTTCTCCCCTACTTCCCCCCCCCCCCCCT